TGCGCAAAAACCATCTAGAGCATTATGGCTCGCGGCGAACCATTACTTTTAATATAAATAAAATAACAAAATATGAGCGTCCGGCCGCTGAGTGCCCCCGAACACTTTTATATTTCAGCAGAGACACCACCCGCGACCAACACCCCTACGCAAGATTTATATTTCAACTTGTGCAATACTTATCCCTTTAAACCGACGGACACATCCGACGTTGTGACTCGGGATGACTGATCCACTGCTGCCATCACGTGCCCGTGTGTATTTTGAGTTGATTTACTATTCAACAACAGACAAGTGGCGCTGCCGTATCAGTATAGATCATAAACACGGCATTATGTATGTACTGTGTGTATATATTTACATAAGTAAACAATAAAGATTAATGTTTGCTGTGCGAGATCAATATCAGGACGACTAATACTTCCCAATAGAATATCATTAATTTCCGACAGATAGGTAACAACTTAATACAAAGAGAACAAAGTGTACTGACATTGACACCATAATTCAAACATAACAAACGACCATGTAATCGTTGAGAACCGGTTCCTATGTGTTCAGTCACTACACATACATATATCTGCATAAACATAAACTGACTACAACAATTAAATTCCTAGTTTTATAGTTGGCGTTTAATTTTCGCATATTTGAAGGTTAACGTGTATTAAAATAAACTGATAAAGATGAGACTCGCATTTACTAAAGCAACCATAATTACGGTGTTCAGGGAAATATGCCAAAGAGCATTTGAGGCAGCGAGCTGTTCTCATACAGCCATCATTTTGACAAGTTAAGTGTTGTTTGTAAACGAGCTACGTCGACAATATTTTTCTGTATAATTTAAGGTATTAAAATTTCATCTCAATGTCTGAGGGAGGGCATAATAATGACTTAACACGCACGTCGGCCTGCAACTTCTCAAACATATTGAAACAAGAAAATATTGAACTAAGCTGGTTATCTTCTGCGAAACATGCTCATAATATCTTACTGTTTGAACCTTACATTCTGACTCAATTTATGTTTCTTTCAGTTGCGAAACAACAAAAATAAAATTATCTACAGACAATATATTACCAAATTGAAATACGACTTGAGTTAATTACAATGAAAATAAAGTAAACATTATTACAAACGATCGCTTTCTAAAAGTAATAGCAAAACAACATTTGAGAAATTGTATGTTTCAGGATTACATTAGGATTATGATATTGAAATAGAACAATTAACTAAATCACCGGCAGGTTTGAATAAAGGCGAGGGGTGCTGTAAAGCTCTTCATCCCCAGCCACTACAGATTGCTATCTCATTCACGCGTTTAGATGATTATCTTTGTAAAAGGAAATATGAGTTACGCTTCACTGGAGTGTAAACAAGTGAATGAACAAACTCAAGTGTTTCGACACAAGACTTGCGTGCGTTTCCGCGATGCGTGCCCTTTGCACAAGCTCCAATCAATCAATGTCCACTTTAATGACTTAATACTGACATACTCGACTCGGTATTCCTCCAGAACTTTGCTTCATAAACGAGGAAATTTACATGATTACAGTACACTCTTATTATCGCCTCAATGAACGTTTCGACCGGTGCTAATTACACTCGATGCTCCCTCGAAACCTTACGATGCTTCATCGACCGATATTGTCCATCGCAGCCGATCGTAAAGCGGGCCTAACAAAACAAAGAGCATAACACGACTATAGAGTTCGCAATAAAACCGCGTGAAAATGGCAATAGCTATTCAGAGGGAGATATTAAAATGCATGGAAATAAATTCGGCGTCGCATTCGGGCGTACGGCTCGGGGGGTGCAGTAAAAATAAACAGCGACACCATTAGAACTCACTTCCATATTCAAATTTATGAACGCGTCCGAACCGCGTCCCTAACTGGCGTCGCTCGTCCACCGTCACTCCACGACCACTGGATAGTGCTACGCCACCGCTACACCACTGCTACGTGTTAGCTACGCCACATCTACGCAACTACTACAAACTACTACAAACTACTACACCACCGCTACGTGATTGCTACACCACTTCTACGCAGCTGCTACAGATTACTACGCCACCGCTACGTGTTAGCTACGTCACTGCAACGTGATAGCTACGCCACTGCTACGTCACTGCTACAGCTTGCTACGCCACAGTTACACAACGCCACTCACTCTCGCTGCTCATTTATACCGCCATTATTTTGACGGTCAATTTAAAAATTTCACCCTTGTTTTACCTAACATAAACCTACATTATACCGGTCTAACTAACTCACATTTCTACACCCTCGACACCTGTTTGCTGTAAAAAGTGGCTTAACGATAATGAACAGGTAGTGTGTGTTTGAACGTTATTTTTATGAATTTATAGTAATGTGTAACATGTTGTAAGACTAACAAACAAAATAAACGTAAGACAAGAGCGGGCGGGAGGCGGGCGTCGGGCGTCGAGCGACGCGTGCTTTAGTTTAAATAAACAGACGGTTTTCAAAAATTTGTGTATTTAAATCGTATGTGACTTGTGTTACTGGTGCTATTTCTGTTTAACTGCCGCACTGATGGATCTGAAATAACACCTCCATAGTGCCGTTCAGGGAACTCACATTAAATTCATAAGGGATTAGGTGTCATCATAAACAGGAATTATTTAGTCGGCTGAGGTTAAAAACAACAACATAGCTCCCGGCTAATTATTTCTAATGGCAATTATAGTGCGGCTAATGTGCTCCTGAAATATCTATTTGTGCCCTTTATTATAACTTGGGATTTCGTAAGTCAAAAGGGGAGATGCCAAGTTGCTAATTTAATGCGGCTTCGAACAATCGTCGATTAATGGTTCTGTGACTTAACATTTATTTTGAAAGCAGTCTTTCATAAAGCTGAATATATTTTAGATAAGTAACTTGTTCTGGTAGATATGTTGTACCTATTTTAAGTCTTTAGTACTTTTGTTTTTACATAACATCATCACGACTTATATCCCGGAAGGGGTCGGCAGAGGTGCACACAGATGTAACACCCACTTTTCACTATTTATGTTATGAGTCCCATATAATAGGGGGTGAGCCTATTGCCATATACCTGGCACATTTCCAGACTCCGTGCTACTACTGAGAATTTTTTAAAACCCAGTAATATTATGCCCGACCCGGGAATAGAACCCCTCGCCCGGCAGTCTTTTGTTTTTGTCACCTATTAAAGGATTATATGGGATCTGTTATTGAAAACTTACACCCGAATGTTGATAGGCTACTCATTTCTAAGTTGAACTTACTTAGGTACTTAAATATCGTGCCATCTCTGTCATTATACAAAGAATGTGTAGTGACAGAACTGTATTTAAGCTCGCTTTAAAATCAAGTGACGATTGACTATTCCACCGTTAGATATTTAAGAAAATAGTCCAATAATTTATAAGTTCACCTAAGTTAGTGTTGTACTTATTTGTTTCGTTATCCTTCCCACTTCATATAATATGATATAAGATATGATTATATACGTAATAAGCACCCAAGTACGCATAAAAACTCAAACAATGTAAACACTATTCGAACGATTCACACAACAGAACCATAAAGTATTGATCACCAACAAAAAATGACTAAATCAAAGAGCAAATCAAATGAATGTAACAAACAAAAAGCCAGTAGCATACCGGCAGCAAAATATCCGAACCCTAACAACATAGTTTCGTTAATTAAAAAAAAATATCCACCCCATCCAAGGCAAATGACATGAAGGAAATAGTATCGAGAATCGGCTTAGTCGATTCCGATCCGATGACTGGCAGAATCGACTAAATTGCTTCTATCACATTAATATTGGACGGTGGAGTTACAGTCACACGTACGTTATATTTAATTTAAAGAATACAAAGCGATTGACATGGCTCCCGGCATTTGCTTTTTCATAACAACTCCTCGTAAATTTGTTTCAGATATTAAAATCGAGCTCTGAATGGATCTTGTTATATCGGTAGCAAGGATTTTACACGGTACCCAGTGTGAAGGTGATTCTGAGCTTTCGATGTCCTGCTGCGATGCTCTTTAATTATAAACTATTTTTTACTAAGTATGTTTGTAAAGGAAGTAGGCTCCGATCTGATAATTTGGATCATGACGTTACAATAATTTGGATGTGAAACTAGAAGCAAGAATGCGTAATAGGGAGATACAAGACTGACCTCGATTAAAAAAAAAATACAAACGTTATTCGTGCTGTTAATGTATGCACCGGTGCGGACTTTTAGTACTTGATTCTTACCAAGTAGGTACTGTTATGTTTACCTACACAACTGTGTGCACTTATTGTTTCACTTATGAGTTATTAATTAGATAGGTATCATAGGTAGGTACTTAGGTACTTTGCTAACACGTGTAACCCAACCAGTCAAAGTTGAGTTATTTTATTATTCATGAACATTTAATTATTCTGTAATCCCTTTGTAATTTACAGTAAATGCAAAAAACGTTAAGTTAAAAATACAAAATTGCAAACTTCATTAAAACAACAATAGCGAAATAAATATTTTATAAATGCAAATCGATTAGTAAGTTATTAACAAAGTTACACAACAAGTTTTCGCGTTCGTAAACACCGACAACTTATCTCTGAGCAATTAAAAAGGCCATTTAATAATTATTGATACAAACAAAAAGTTATGACGTGCAAGTTCAATTAGTGTGCGGTGTGGGAGGCTTCGCGGGGCGACGGCGGCCGCCATCTAGCGGGCGTCAGCGCCGCCCACCGCCGCCTCGCGCGCCTCCAACCTCCTCGCGGCCACATGTCGCTTATGAATATGAGGCGTTATGATTATGAAAATATGCCCCGCCCCGAATATGGAATATGGAGGAGGGGGGCCCGTGTAGCGCGTGCGAATGGGCGAAGTTTGATTTATGAGCCGGGCGCGGCCCCGCCTCCCTGTCATAACCGTATACCTGGTGCGCGCGCGCGCTGCCGCCCGCCGCCCGCCGCCGCCTCGCGCTCAGTCCCGCTTCAGATGGCGAGTGGTGCGCTCGGTCACACGCCGCGTCCGCTCCGCACCGTGTACTTCGTCCGAGCCGAGTAGCGGCGCCGCGCGCGAGTGTCCCAGCAGTGTGCAGCGAGCCCGGCAGTGCCCCGCCTGCCGCCTGCCATGCGCGCGCTCTGAGCCGGCAGCGCCAGCGCTCACCATGCCGCGCGTCAAGCCCTCCTGCGTCCGCCGCGTCTCCATCGGTACTTAACCCTCCACTCCGACATCTCACCACATCACACACGCCGCCTGTGCCACATCTCACTCTCCGGTTGTGACCCCCGCGAGGAATTATTGTGTTTTTGTCGATACGTTACTGTTGAATCCACGATTTGATACTCGTACCGATAAAATGATTCAGTTAGCGACGATAAAATTTGGCATACATCAGAAAGTGAGCACTAAAATCCGTCACCAACGGGGTGAGTAAACAGTGCAGTGAATTACACACTTTACAGTCTGTTGTAGTTAGTTGGAAGGACTACTGTAGGGAGGTATGTAGAGCTTATATATTTATTAAACTCCAAGTCTCAGATAAAACTTGAAAGCTTACAAGTGGTAAAGTTACATTACAAAAAAGTGCATCCAAAAATCCGTTTGTAAAGAAAATTTTACAAAATTATCTAAGTTATAAATTGTGAAAACTTTAATTTCAATGGAAGCTTTATCTGGAAATTATTTCAATTCGCTCCCAGAAAGCTGTGGAAAAAGTTGTTAATTGGTGGAAAATATTTATCAGACCGGAACAGTTGACATTTTCCAGGAAGAGAACGATGTAAAAATAAAATAGTTTGCGAGCAGTGTACGTGTAGCTACGTACAGCTACACTGTAGCGAACTTGGCGATCGCAGTGCGCGCTAAATATCTTAAATGGTCCAATTAAAAAACGGTTACGAGCAACCAATAGGTCGAATTTCAAAATGTTTATTACCACGAGTATAAATAGAAAGGCTTATTGTGGCTTAGCATTTGTTCGTAGGCTATTCTGTTGCATTCAAACTATTAGCCATCGTGTCCGGCTTTATGGCCACAACTATTAATAATCCGGACAGATATCATTGAAACATTATTTATAATTAAATTTATGATGTCATTTTTACTGTTTCTTTACAAAATACTTCAGTTATGTTTATTGAAGGACCATTTTATGAGTTCTGCCGTAGTGTTTACTTGTGTTTTATGATAGTTACGGATGTTTTACTAGAAGACTGGAGTTTAATAATTTAATAGATAGTTTGTTGGTGATACATGTATAAATGAAAGTGTAATGACAGTAGAATATGTTGTATAAATGATATATAAAACAAACAGCCCGCATGAATCATACGATGCGACGGCCCAGCCGGTCATATATCAGGAACTTTTCTATTATTTACAGAAAACACAGATACTGATTTCAATTGCATTATTTCTTTAATCAGCCGTATTTTATACAATGCTTGTACATATATCTATAATAAAATATTGCGGCTAATAAAAATCTGACGCAGATGGACATAAACAGTTATGTATATTATCTTATCATATACAAAAATATTCATAATTATAATAACGGCGGTCTGTATATACTTATTAGGAAATGTTGTCTAAAATGTGTGTCGTTTTATGGACAAAATTTAATTTCTTTTTAATATTTTGAATGTATCAAGGCTTTATTTTAAGATAGCGTAGGAGAGAGTTTTGGCTAGTCGAACCATCGGTAGTAAAATATAATTCAAAGCAGTCTAAATTATAAATTAGCTTATTTATGATAACACATACAAAGTTGCGTACGCAGCTAACTGAACAGATGAAAAAATCTGTATAATTTGTATATCATAAACGTCATATATTAGTCTAATATAGACACAACATATATTTGCATGTCTAATATAAACTTTATGGCACATTATCGTGACGCCCCGCGGCGCTGCCCGTATATTAAATAATTTCACAGTTCATCATTCACTTTACCGCGTTGATCTTAATATAACAACCTTGTAAATACTATTTATAGATCACCGTATAGTTTATAACTTATTTATAATACCAAACGTAGCATAGGGTCAATATAGCTATCATTTGAAATTTTTATGAGGTGTATTGATAATCAATTTATTCTAGTAGCGTTATCGTCAAAATAATATCACGTTCCTAGAGACGTGAATACACATGTAAATATTGCCAACGTAGGCCGCAACTGAATTCTAATTCATTTTCTCAAAAGCCTTTCTTCTAACCGTGAGAAATTTATTATTTAACCGTTTTCTTCATTTTCCCCCTTTCTCCTCCAACTTCCGGTGTGACTTCCTGATTTTACCTAATCTTTAATGGAGCTTTAATTCTTGGGTTCAATTTAATAACTTCACTATTAATAATATAAAAGACGATTATTATTATTTAATCGTAACCATTCACAATAAATACTTAAATAAAATATAGAAACTTGTTCCATTTCAGACATTGCATTCGCTAAGAAATTTCACAATAATTTTCATTAGCTTGAAATTAATGAATTAATTCTATATTTGCATACTTTGTACAGCCAACAGACTCTTTTATATATTATTTATGTTCGAAGGGTGTTTGAATGTCGGTCCTTACATTCCTTACTTCCCCATTTTCATTCCTCTAATAGAACGCTTTTCATTTATCATTGCTACTCATTTTTCTTGGCTCTGATTAGCATGAAATTAAATGGATTGTAAATGAAATGACTGTAAGCTCCAAATTAGCAATATTTCGCTTTAATGTCAATTTAATACGTTATATCAATAGTTAATCGGCCATAACTGATTAAAAAGAAATGTCTTCATAGAACAGAATGACACGTTGTCAAAGTTTATTATAGCGACCGACAGTCGCTCCAGTCGGTTTATCTCATTGCTGGTTTTACGAGTGCTCTATAAAATATTTATTATACACATTCTATCTGCTAACGATTGAAATAACCTATTCATATTCTTATGAAATACTTATATTCTCTATTTGTTTGATCGGCTAATAAATTAAAAAAAACAAAACTCGTTAAATGTCTAATCCGGTTCTAATTCGGACTAAAATGAAAGATCACTATGCATAACGCCGTTCATTTACCTTGAATGATGAATAATAATTACTGTTGATGTATAAATTATAGACTTTCTGTCAGTTGATTAATTAGCATCGACATATTTTAATGGCGATTGTAATAACATTAATGGCACCTATCTACTGGTCCATAAACGTTTAGGATGGGCGTAATGCTGTGGCCAGAAGTGTTGGCCAGCGGTTGCTCTCAAAATAATTGTAAACATATTTGTTGGACATGAAAAGGGACGGTGATAGATAAGTTTGCTTTGTCACCGGATTAGACAATGTCGAGCATTGAAAGCCAACGGCGTCCCAAAGACTTTTTAGATTTGTGCGTAGCGCGGCGGCACTTACAGTAAACGATAACACATTGCTACACAAAAAAATACTTAAATAAACAGTTTTTCTTTGAGATGGAATTTCGTTTTAATGACAGAATGAATAGAAATGCAAAACATTTCATTGTTATCAAAACTTAGTTCATTTATACTATTATAATTACTTCTATACATACCTATGTATAGAAGTAATTTCCGTATTTAGAAATTTAGCACAATTTATAGGTTCTTTAAAGACAAAATTGTGGTTCAGTTTTCAGGTGAATATATTACAATTATTTTCATATTTTGTTTAAATATTGATGGGGTAGGTTGTGCATGCATGTTGATGTTGCTTCCTAAATTAACTATTATCTATTTAAAGCTTCGAATAAATATTTATAGATAACGTTTTCAGCAGTCTCTTCAAAGCAGAGCTCGTAGTGTTCTAACCATAGTATTTAATTATCTTGAAAATGTATGATTGAGAAAAAATATCAAGTTTAGGCTTGACTTACACTAACAATCATTCCACTATCTACAAATACTTCTACCATAGTTACCTAAGTTACCTGTAAAACGTTTTAATCTGAATTCTGAACTAATTCAATATAAAAAAAACTGCATCTACTGAACAACCCAATATAATCGATAACTGTCCCATCCTTTGAGTCACAGAGGAAGTATCATAAAGCATTTAGCTGAACATATTGAACAATTGTCGGTACACAAGACTCGTATGACAAAGATGAGAGAGCGGCGGCGCGCGACATTGCAAACCTTTGCAAGGTGCCGTTCCAACTAAACAGCACTGTCAAATGCAACAAACAGATACCACTAATCCTTCGCCTTACAAACAAATATTAAACGCACCGGCATCTCGCTACAAATGAGTTATATAATCCCCCGCCGCAACATTATCCCGGATTATATCATGTTTTGTGACGGTGCTCACTTATCCGGCAGCTTTTCAAAACACAACAAAAAAACCGCATATTGAAAAGTATAGAGGTACTTTATGACGTCCGACAACCAGGTAGTCTATAAAAAAGATATATTTAAAATATGAACTCGGTGAAAGTAGTTGGTGACACTTGGTGATAAGCAAATTTATGCACCAAATATGTATGTAGGTATGTTTGGAAATCTTTAATTTAACAATATTTTTGATAGGGCCGGTAAGTGGTAGGTCTGGTTGAACTTGGGTTGGAATTCCGATAAATTAATATAAGTATGCATACTTGTACTTAATTTTTATTGGTTTATCTTGTAAATGTATATATACCGCACCTGTGTCTGTATATATATAAAATAAATATGTATAATTTTGAACTGGATTTTGCTTCCGTAAAAAGAAGCTTCTATTGACTGCTTCTGGGTCGTTTACGACTTTAGAAGAAGATAGAACGACTGCGAAATTGGTCGATGTGAATTCATGGTCAGAAATAGAATAGGTACCTAGTTGGTTATAAAGTTAAGTTTGAAAGCAAAATCTATGAAAAAGGTATAACTAAGATATGAAATAGTCAAATTAAACTTGATGCCTAAGACTAGAGATACCTAGGTACTTGCTATAACAAAGAACATATTTCTTTAGTAAATAGGTAGCTACTAAAGAAATACTGCTGTATTTTCCTAACCTCCACTGAGGCACCTCAAAAAACTTAAAAAAAAAATAATATTAATTACTATAACTAATAATAATGACTGCCTCATTGGCCGAGTAGTCTTGCCGGGCAAAGGGTCTCGGGTTCGATTCCCGGGTCGTGCTGGGTTATTACTGATTTTTTTTTTAATTCTCAGTAGTAGCACGGAGTCTGGAAATGAGCCCAGTATATGGCAATAGGCTCAACCCCTATTAGATACATGGGATTCATAACATAAATTGTGAAAAGTGGGTGTTACATTATACAGTGGCATTAATTGCCGTAATGTGCACCTCTACCCCTTCGGGGATAAAAGGCGTGATATTATATCAAGTCATTACTATAAAGATAATGCAGCAAACACAATACTCAGTTGACGAAAACATCTTCGTTCGTCCAATCATCCTTGACCCGCCTCAGTTAAATCATGTTAGATACTACAAATAGGTACTTACAACATAGGAATCTCTCTGTTGACTCCGCAGTTTAAATCTCAAGGGTCACTAGAACTCGAATTCTTTAAATACAGTGGATTTTAAAGGTATTTTATTTAAACTAAATCTCTCTCAATCGCTTTGAAACTCACTCAATTTTGAAAACTTTCTCAAGTTGTTTAGATATTTGAATTTTGGCTTTGTGCTTTTTAAATTTTAAATAGGCGATTATAATAAAAAATATATCCATCGTATCTATAATATAGTATTTAATTTAATTAATCAGTATTCAAACGTTAGGTATTCGATTTTAATTATTCTATAAATTTCAAATTGTAACAAGTTACTTATAGAAGAAATAATTAGAGGTATTATTCTCTTGATTCGATTTGTTTGCAGTTAATATTATAATAGGTAGGTTAAATCAATTATTGCCTTAAATTAATTACGCAAACTTATAATTTTTAATTTTATTCATTTATAAGTAACCCTATTTAATTTTACTTATTGTATTCCTTACGTATGCAAACGCATGCCATAGGTAAAACTACTACAAAATTAGTCGGGCATTACTAGCCTCCCTAAAATAAAATGCATTGTAAGAATTGAAAGGACATTTTTTTATCTCAACCGAGTGACTGAACGACGTCCTAGAATTGATGCAGCAAGTAACAGTAGTAGGTAGTCTGGTTTTAAACCTTTTTTATTGTTATTTGTTATAATGTAGGTAAACATTTTCTTTTTGTTCCTGGCGTGCATGTCTTATATAAATTAACATAAGTAACAAAAGTTAATCAACATAAATACTAACTAAGTCAGTTCAGTTCAAAATGTGTACAGGAGTTTGTCGTTTAGATATCTTAATACCATTTCATCACAACTCCATTATTAACTAATTCAGAAGGTACCCTTCCCAAATCAAATTTAGTATAAATAAATATATGTCTACCGTAGCCTCACACCTCAATATAATAATATGTAGTTATGTATGAAACTCAAAATTATTGGCCTAGTTTTTGTAACTTACGTCAACTGTTAAGCACGTGGATCAAAATATATTACATTATAATATTTATTACTTATATAGTCTTCACACATACAATAAAATCTAATCACATACTGAAAAAGCCTTAATTCAATTCAAATATAATTTAAAAGTAAATAAAATTACTTTTAATTCTTCCGTTTAATTCAAAACAGGCATAAATTATCCCCTTTCATCAAAATACTAATGTTAGGCACAAAAATCATTTATAAAACCTATTCTATTGTATTCAATGCTACTTACATACTTATTAATATATAAACAGCTATGTTATTTAGAATATATTAATGCAACAACTGTAAATGTATGAAAGTGCCCAGTTTTTTATTCCGGGTTCAAAGTTCATACTGAAAAATAGAGGAACTAATTCCGTTATGTACTTTTATTATGAAACTAGCTACTTCTGCCCGGTTTCACTCGCTCTGCTCGGCGTCTGTTAATCGTAGCGTGATGTTTTATATAGCCTATAGCCTTCCTCGATAAATGGGCTATCCAACGCAGAAAGAATTTTTCAAATCGGACCAGTAGTTTCGGAGATTAGCGCGTTCAAACAAACAAAAAACCAAACTCTTCAACTTTATAATATTATAGTATAGATTGGCTCGTTTAGCCAAAGCGGGTGCTTAAACCAAATTAATTATTTGACTACCGATAGAAAACTCGTTCGGTCTCACTCGGTAATTATTGAAAATGGTGAAAACGTTTTGATTCTTTTATATGGCAAAATCTATTACTAGCGCCGGTCACTTTCGGCCCCATAGCGTTTACCATGTCGCGGAGAACCTAACGGGTAACCGGGGCTCCCCGGCTCGACGTGCAAGAGAAGGAACGGGGTGGTTTTTAGTCAGTAAGAGTCTGACACTCCCGTGAGCGGGAGCAGTCATTCGATGATTTTCCCCCCTTAAAAAAAAAGCGTTTACCATATTAAAGTGTACGGGTACCTACTTTAGACCTTATTTCCGATTGTTTGTATTTTGTATGATAAAGACTTCGGCAATCAAGGAAGGGAATACATATTTATCCTTAGACATACATAGAAATTATTTAGCTATGTTGAAAAATAAAAATTATTCTGAAAATATTTCAATAATTTTTTGGGTCTAAAATGATCTAAAATACTTAAATTAGATAATAGATAAACTGACTTACGTCCAGAGGTATTATCTAAAGTTTTTCTTGTAGGTAGTCGTTCATATTTTTAAAATAAAAGAACCTCCCTATCTTGTTATACCTATGGGTATGTTTGTTTTAAGAATGACTATGTTGCGATAGATAACATTCAAAGATATTTTTTTAAACTTCACTTTTCAGCGCATTATAACAAAAAATCTATGTAACTTTTAACTTAGAGGATATACCTCTATACTTAGGTAAACACCTGTGTATTAATCCAATAGATGCAACATTAATTGCTTACCTACCTGACTGCCTCGTTGGCCAAGTGGTCGCAAGTGCGACTGCCGGGCAAGGGATCGGTACGGGTAAAGTATTACTGGGTTTTTAAAAATCTCAGTAGTAGCACGGAATCTGGAAATGTGCCCGGTATATGGCAATAGGCTCACCCTCTATTACATGGAACTCATAACAAAAATAGTGAAAAGTGAGTGTTACATTGTACAGTGGCATTAAGTGCCGAAATGTGCACCTCTGCCTACATCTGATAAAAAGGCGTGATGTTATGTTATTAATTGCTTACTTTACTATCTACACTCAATATAAAACCTCTTCTGAAACACAAAACTAATAGAGACAAGACCAAGCCTTTTTGCTCACAGTCTTGAGTCACGCGAATTCTTTTTGGTCCTCTCCAGACCTATTGTTATTTCTCAGAAAAAAATAGCTTGTTATAAAAGAATGTCACCATCAACGAAACTATATTGACTATAAAAAATAGAAGGTTAATTAATTTCATCTTGGTTCGCTACAGTGACGGGACTATAGTACATTCTTTTCAAATAATTAATTCGTTCATAAATAGAAACATTTCCATGTCTGCCTATTTCATTCCACAATGAATATAACCTAGTTGATAGCTATGTTAATTATGAACTAAATGAATCATGCATATTATAATACATATCTGTAATTAAAACTTTTAATAACGTTATTTGTATCCATGTAACTACGAAATTGAATTTAAATTCATACGGAATACTTTGTTAATTAACTGTACGCATATTCCCGTACCGAAACTTCGGTATAAAAGTTTAGCGTCGATGCGAATGTTCTATCGCGATATTTTTAGCTTTCCACCCTTCTCGTGTCTATTGTCACAAAGTTGCTACTAAACAACGGTTTCGGGCGCCGTAACATGCTACTACTAGCGACATCTGTTGCTGAGTAGCCGGTAACTAAATGTATTCGTAATGTTAGTTGTTTGAAATAAGGTGTTCGGTGGATACTTAGTTTTTAAAATTCCGTGGGGGGATAAATGAATAATATTGTTTATTGTTGGATATTTAAGAAATATGAACTATAACTGACTTAGGTATTTAATTGAGTTTTAGGTTTGATTTGTGGGTAGGTTTGTGATGTATAATTTATATGTGTAGGCTTAACTTATAGCAAAGGAACTTGTAGACATTGACTAGATTAGCAATCCAGCTGTGCCTACACCCTATCCTTACGATATCATAATACATTATAAGTGTATCTATTATTAAGTATAATGCCAAATACACTTTTTATTGCCGTGTTTATAAATAAGCAAACGTAGAATTTCGTTTATTATGCAAAAAAAATCAAAGTTATAAAATATTTCCCATATGAAATGACAATACCCATATCACGTCATTTTGTTTGGAAAGAAAATAATCCACTTCTTCCACGTCGTAACATGACTATCCCGAATTTTATATTCTCGTGGGAATTCAGTAAAATCTTGTGACAGCAGTTTTCTACCTCGAAAAGGGACGTGCACATCAAACAAAACCACCGTTTGGGACTTTCCCCCTTGATACTGTATCATTCATCTTTTCCTTTTATATTTATAAAATAAGTTACGTCACTATGAATGTGAAAGCACTTTAACGCGTTTAGGGATAGGAAAATATACTTATAATATCATTTTAGGTGTTGATAAAACGGAAAATGTTGATACAAATGACTGTATAGGCCTACTTGAAGATGCATTGTTTGCGGTTACAAATGGGTCATTCAAATAGTCGGTACCTCCCGTAATTAATTAATTCATATGTTACACTGACACATCTTGGCATTTTTATATACTTTACACTTATCAACACACTCATCATCACATTAAATCATTGATAAGCTTATTGAATGTAACGTTAACAAATTCTTGTTTTGTTCTAGGTGACAGTTCGGGGTCGTGTTCCGAAGAAGAAATTAACCATGTGTCTGATGAAGCGAGAGACCGGCCTGAGGCACACATGTGTCCTCGTTGCCAGGAACAGTTCGAGAACCTCCACGAGTTCCTGTACCACAAGCGACTGTGCGATGAGAAAGCGTTGCAAATGGGCGAGGAAAGAATGCATTCGGATCCAGAGGAAATGGTCGTTTCAGGCGACGAAGAAATGGATGGTCCTAACAAACGATTAGAACAAGTCCGACGGCATCGACAAGATGCGGAAAACAATAACAGCCTCGAAGATGGCGAGGCAGAAGTGCCTGAAGCCGATGTGCCACCGGTCGGTCTGCCCTTCCCGGTGGCTGGCCATGTCACGCTCGAAGCCTTGCAGAATACTAAAGTTGCCGTGGCACAATTCGCTGCAACTACAATGGCGAACAATGCCGATAACGAAGCGGCGTTACATGAATTAGCCGTGCTACAAAGTACGTTATTTACACTACAGCATCAACAAGTGTTTCAACTACAATTAATACGCCAATTACAAAACCAGCTGTCATTAACGCGACGGAAAGATGATCAGCTTCCGAGCCCGCCGCCAAGTGAACCAGAGCCAGTGCCGGTGCCTCCCGCTCGATCGCCGTCACCGCCTCGTCCGCCACGGGAGCCAACTCCTGTCGCACCCCCTCCTCCTACTAGTCAAAGTTTACCGTCAACCCATTCGCATCTTACACCTAAGACGGAACCTATATCCGTTCCTAAACTTCCAACCTCATCTCCACCGATGATGTCCCATCCACCGTATAGCTCCATTTCCTCATCGTTAGCATCTTCGATAATAACAAACAACGACCCGCCACCATCTCTCAACGAACCCAATACGCTTGAAATGCTACAAAAGAGAGCACAAGAAGTGCTAGACAATGCGTCACAAGGCCTACTAGCCAATAATCTTGCCGATGAACTTGCGTTCCGTAAATCGGGAAAAATGTCACCCTACGACGGAAAATCTGGAGGAAGAAATGAACCATTTTTCAAGCATCGCTGCCGTTATTGTGGAAAAGTGTTTGGAAGCGACTCTGCGCTGCAGATCCACATTCGATCGCACACAGGTGAAAGACCTTTTAAATGTAATGTATGTGGATCACGATTTACAACCAAAGGAAATCTCAAAGTACATTTCCAAAGACACACAGCAAAGTTTCCGCATGTCAAGATGAATCCCAATCCAGTACCAGAGCATTTGGATAAATATCATCCCCCATTGTTAGCGCAGCTGTCGCCGGGACCAATTCCTGGCATGCCACCACATCCACTTCAATTCCCTCCGGGTGCGCCAGCTCCTTTTCCGCCAAGCTTGCCGTTGTACAGACCCCCACACCACGACTTACTACCACCTCGTCCACTCGGAGACAAACCTCTACCGCCTCATCCACTATTTGCAATGCGAGAGGAACAGGACGTTCCGGCTGATCTCAGTAAACCATCCGCGCCGAGTCCTTCTCAATCAGCACCAGAGGTTAAGTCTGAACCACAAGACGATGAATGTCATCGAGAATCCAGTTTTGAAGATGTTGACCGAGTATCTCCTAAGCGAGAACCTGACGAAAATGATGCCACACAAGATCCAGAACAAGATAGATACCCTTCGACTTCACCCTACGACGACTGCAGCATGGATTCAAAATATAGCAATGAAGAACAAATCGGCAGAGAGAGTCCTCATGTGAAGCCCGATCCAGACCAACCGGAAAATCTTTCAAGTAAGAATTCACCGATATCCGGGCCAATTTCAATAGCAACAGGACTGCGTACTTTTCCTTCGTTTCCTTTATTCCCACAGTCTCCACCCAGCAGTATGTCCTCTGGTAGTTTAACTCCTTTTCCGAACTCTGTTCAAAACGTCGTTGATGTAGATCTGGCACGTGATCCAATGTTTTATAATTCACTTTTGCCCCGACCGGGCAGTAATGATAACTCATGGGAAAGTTTGATAGAAATAACCAAGACATCTGAAACATCGAAACTTCAACAGTTAGTCGACAATATTGACAATAAAGTGTCCGACCCCAATGAATGTATTGTATGCCACCGAGTTCTCTCTTGCAAAAGTGCTTTACAAATGCACTATCGTACTCATACCGGCGAGAGACCTTTCCGATGTAAATTGTGTGGCCGCTCTTTTACGACTAAAGGTAATTTGAAAACCCATATGGGCGTTCATCGCATTAAACCTCCAGTTCAAATGTTACATCAATGTCCAGTTTGCCATAAGAAATTTTCGGATCCTACCATATTACACCAACATATACGACTTCACACGGGCGAACGCGCTCATATTCCTTACGATCAAATGAGAAGTATCGATATTGAGGGTTTTCCATCACTGAGTAACGGGTCAGACGTCAGCGACTATCAAACTCAGCGCCCCTTCCCGCGCCCAATGTTCCCCACTCCGACTACTCCCGGCGACCGACGGGCGGACTCCCGCGGGACCGACGATGAGAGCGGCCGGGACGAGCGCGAGCCCGCTATTCGGGAGTTCGACGACGACTTAGATATGAAGGATCGTCGAACTTCGCCGCTCTCCGTCTGCGCCTCGGCGTCCGAAAGCGAAATAAAAACCATCACCACAACGGCTTCCCTCCCATCGGCGACAGGTTCGGAGAGCGGGCGGAGCGCGCGGGCCTCGCCACCATCGCCCACCATGTCGACGCTGTCGACGCCGCCGCGGCTGCCGCTGCACTCGCCGCTGCCATCGCCGCCCACGCCTATCGCTGCGCTCGGCGCGCTCGGAGGATCGCCCTTCAGCCCGCTCGGACTCGCGTTCCCTCCCGCAGGTATGCGATAGCGGGATCTTATATTTTCGTCCGCCCCGGTCGCCCGCATTTCCATTTCCTTGTTTTGATCCTCGCCCACCACTAATAAATAAATCACCGGGCGCTCGAATACACGTCAAAGTCTACGACCAAAGCTAAAAGTGGAAGAAGTTTCAATAATTGATAACAAAACAGTGTAATCGTGCGTTCCGACTGTTGTACAATTAGTGACAACTGACAACGAAACCGCATTGAACGATGGGTTTATTTGTGTACAGTGCGCGGCAACACGACCTGTAACCTCTGCTACAAGACGTTCGCCTGCAACTCCGCTCTGGAGATACATTACCGGAGCCACACCAAGGAGCGACCGTTTAAATGCACCGTCTGCGATCGCGGCTTCTCCACAAAGGTTTGTGTCTTGAAACTCTTCTTATACCCAACATTTACTCCTTTGAAATTTATATTTCCACAATTCAACCAATTGAATAAGCGCAGGTACCAACAGTACAATATAATTCGAACCTACTTGACGACTGACGTGTCTATAACAATGCCGTGATATGACTATCATGTAGATAATAGTCACATACAAACTCGTAGCTCAGATCGAGTGACTTTGGCTGTTAGCCAGTTCATACTTTATTGTTACACAAATAGCAAGGCGTACATGTTTACGACATTTCCACTAATTTTCACTACATCTAAAGAAATTCATTGATAATAAAATCTTTTAAATATAAAATACTAACTCCGGTCCGTAGCTCTATCTACGTACAAGTAGGTTAACAATTTCTTTAATTTTCCGCTTCCTGACAGCGTTAAGATTAAACATCTTAATTCCTTTCCTAGATGCTAAATGACACTTAAATACCTAATTTAAATGAAATGCATATTTCTCTTGAACCGTCTAAAACAAACGACTTTACATTCTACAAGAGTCAAGTTATCATTTACCTCTGAGTATGTTCTGAAATATTTTCTGTTAATAATTGAAAGAGCGATGAAGAATTATTATCTCTACCTATATCTTATTAAAATGCATTCAACGACCTCTATTTGCATACAAGTAGTAGGTAGTCAGAAGTGGTATAATGGCGGCAGAGCATATAGTTCGTGTTTGATAAATAACACGACGCAAGCGGGGCATCGTATTCCAAGTTGAAGGCGAGACATCGACAAGCGACGTAGTGCGCGACTAACTTCATGCGCCGGTTTCATTTCATCCAAGTTTCAGTGCATTAATTTTGCAGGCAGTAATTACAAGTCGCTAGTCGGCGCCTCTAGTTCGCATTAGTTTTAGCTGTTGTCTTCCTCCGTCGCCTCGCATCCGAGCTGTTGCCGGCTCGCCGAGTAATTGACGACTAACTGCGCAAACTTGTAGGCTCGTTTGTTCCGATTTAATCAAAACTATGTACTGCCTTATTGATCGTGTTCCGACTTTTATGAATGGCTTATAATTAAAACGAGTACTTTTGTTATTGATGTCACAGGCTGTAAGTTAATGCGCCTCATATCTGCACAAAATGCGACCACTTGTTAGCCGTGTACCGGCCACATTTAACATCGTTTCCATCTACAGATAATAATTAAACTTTGTTTATTATCCAACTCGTTGCCTTATAGATAATCGCAAATTGAACTGTACGTCATGTCATTAATTTATTACTTCGCGATAAAACTTATTTTGCATATCATACGGGCACCAAGTACATTAATCGATGTAAAACGTAGGTATATACCTGCCCACATATTTCCCGGAGTAACGTGCCTTTTCCTGTGCCTTGTCTTTTCTTTTTATAGTTAAACCACAGTTAACATCTCAATTAGTAAGTTGAAGCTTAGAGGAGCTCAAGTAACCGACTTTTGTATAAGACGCACAGACCGCAAGATGCGCGCAAACCGCAAAGGTTTCTGAATAAACTTCCGTTAAAATGCACATGCCTAGAAAATGAATAAACTCTCCTCACACGCCTGCAAGTAAAAATAAATTACTTCAAATTTTAATACGAATCAATATCAATACAAAAACTTTCTGAATGTTTGTAATATCAAATACATGTTCCGAATTCTGAACCAATTTGAAATGTTGATAGGACGAGGACAGGGTGAAATGCAACATACTTAACACAATCATTTCAATGTATGATTATTAATGACACTTCGTTATCTTCATCACCGCTAATTCGCTACTTAAATACTGGCCATTACCAAATAATATGCTAACGTTCACGGTTCAGCTCATTTTATTATTACCACCATATTAATATCACCTTATCATTATAAAAGATTATTGCAACTGCATCATTGCACTTAACTAATCTGAATGTTCGCACTTAAAACTTACTAATGAACATCTGAGAAAAAAGTCTCTTCTAGATAATTATTAAACTTATTACACAAACAACGAAATAATGTGAAACATTTATTAGCAGGTAGATACGAACAAAATGAATTAATTCAATATTTTAAATAATAAATAAAGGTTGTTAAAAGCATTTTTATGATTATACAAGTTTTATACTCGGTTCAGCCAATATTTCAAGCGAGTAGTGTAAAGCTGCGCTTGCGACGCTCCATCGCGTCGCGCCACAAAAATGATAAGTCATAAAAACAACGTCACGGAAAACGATCGGAATATTAATTCATGTCGTAAAATATTTATTGCTTATAAATCCTTGAGCCTTTACCTACGCTTCTCGTCATAAAAAGATTATTTATGCTTGACAAAGTAACATTTTTCGTATGTTACCGAAAGTGACCAAGGGTCTTCAATAAAATATAGGTTATTTACGATGGCGCCGGGGTTAAAAGTTTAAAACATCACAAAGGCACCTTGCATACCTCTGTTGACTTAATTAAGTTCTCCAAATATATGTAGCAATGCTTAAGTACTTGCTATGTATCTATGATTTACCTGACTAGTGACCCAGAAGCCTAGATGACTTTCAATGGACTTCTATTAAATATACATGATGGACGAATGACATTTTCATACAAGATACTTAATATATTCTATTTCACCTGAACATTCTACGAGAAAAAGGTTATGAATCGAAATTTCTACTTCTGACGTCTTTTTCGGCATAATTTCTCTAGCCAATGTTGAAACGTGATAAAGTATACACGCCACACTAGTTAATATACAATATTAATATATCTTGTTAAGTTTTTGCTCCAAAAATGAGATTACAAAACATTTTAATTAAAATTAATTCGCGGATATAAATCTAGAATGTTAAAAAAGCCGCTACAATTTAATTATGTCGGTATATCGTCGCATATTCGGATAATTGTCAATTTTCCGAGTAAATTATTGGTTAAGCATGTATGACAATGTTGGTCATTAAATACCTAACAATCGCCATTGGTCACAAACTGACTGATGTTACTCTCAATGACCACTCCTAACTGTGACTCATAATACCATGTAGCCGATGACAGGTTGACGGCCTGACATTAAGTATTAGCGTGCAATACAATAAATTATCATTATACTTAATTGACAATTTAGCCTAACTAGATTTCTATTGAGTTACGTTTTGATAAGAATTTCTCATGAACGGTTGTGGGCTACGAGCTAGGAGATGTCATTTAAGTCAGTCACCCTAGAATATCTATGCTTACTTTAAAATCTGTTAAATTAGTTTTAGTTAAGTACTCCCCATCTATAGATACAAATCAAAAACTTTGTTATCCGTTTGTTTTATGTATCTACTAATGGTAATAAGTAACACTAAAGTCAAATCTATCTGATGTCTTCACTCCTGGATAGATGAGCACAATATTTCGTGAAATTCTGCCATAATAACCTGATTTACAATAGTGCCATTCTTGTCAAAACTATCTTCTGTTGATATCGGGAGGCTGTCAACAAAATTCTTCATTTTCCTCCATAAATTAATAAGAAAATTCGATGCACATTTCGACTGCGTGTCTTACTATTACATAATGAAGTTTAAAATACATACAATGATTTAAAAATTACAATACTTACTTAAAATACTCACGCATTGAAGTTGTCATCAGGCTACCGACGGCACTGAGGGCCGAAACGGTCTACTTAACATTTATTTATACTTTATAAGAAAATTAGGGCCCAAATCGAATTTTTAATCATTCGAATGTTCAGGAATGTACGAGAAAGATGTGATAAAATGTGAGTGTGTGTATAGGTTGGTATGCCATAAGATTGGACTATTAGGAACTGGTTAATGTGATGGTAGTGAGAGACAAGCCAGCAACCTGTCACAGCCTACGCATAGTTGCAAACGCCGTAGTTACTGCGGCATTCTGTACCCGAAGGACCGGCGCAGCTATCGGAACACCGCGTTAAACAACAGACCTTACCTATGGTAACAAAAGTAAGCAAGCGTTACAAACCAGTAAAAGAATTTGAAAATACACCAAATAAAACATAATTGGTTTCGGGTTTGCTACAACCGTCAGCCTACCCTTTTAACAAAACAGCGTAAATATAACCCTGAAATTGGCTAACGTGTAAAAACGAGGTGCTTGCACTTCTATTCTAAAACGATATATCCCAAATCTGTCGGGACCTTGACCGACTTTTTACGTTTAGTCCTCATATCGACCGTGGTCGAGTTATTCTGGGGGTGCACTCAATGACCGCTACGAATCCAGGGGGCGAAAGCTTTTTATTATAAATACGGCACGATAATAAAAAACATGTCAATCATCCGAACAATACCCAGGAAACCAGGCCTTGAACGAATATAGAGTTGACAGGACTCATTTTAGATATTAAAGACCCCTTTTCGCGTTAATCCGAGCTCGTGGTGTAAAAATAACTTGTATGAAAAGAAAATGGTTAAATATTCATGAAAACAAAGGACGAAATTAAAATTTCGTATAATTTACACGTTCAATTTTCTATTAAAACCAGCGTGCACATCTCATTGTCCCGGGTTAGTGATTTTAAAGATGGCCGATGGCGGCACTAGGCGGTAACCGCTAGTGCCTGAACCAACTGCTTACAATCACATTTAAAATTACAATAAGTGTCGGGGACACTGCACCGACAAAAGTTCACGCGCCAAACTATTTATCGATTATTCCAATCTCCTTGTACTTACACGTAGACATTACGTACTCTACTACGAGCTTCCACAGTTTATTGACTCGATTAACGTCACAACAATAACTATTGCTTCTGTATTATAAATAAAAACAACCATATTTCATACCCTGTTGTATTTATGCATATAAAACTGAATTTATAACCGATACCCATTGTAAACTTCATGTTTTTAACAATTTAAAGTTATGCCCTATAAATCCGGCAATTGTAATGCCAATGTCGATTGTTTAAAAGCTGTAAATCTATAAACTGAAAATTAAATAGCTAAGCTAATAAATTTATAAAAAACATAATAGAAGTTATTATACGGTTCCAAAGTTGGTAGGCACACAATTAGGTCCTAACTTAGTCGATAGACACGATCTACTGCCTGATACGAGTTACCCGTAGCGATTATATGTCCTGGGAGTTAGATTAGCAATTAAATAAATCCATATTCCCAAGTTTGTTCGAGTGGCTTAATAAATTCAGTAGCAATTTAGCGATTTATAACCTCTAATGTAGGTACAGGCAAAGTTATTAACCGCTGTGGAACAGAAATATGACCTAAATGCGAAGAATGCGTAGTCATATATTACATCGTTGCTGAATTTACACCGACTAGAACTATATTTAATTGAAACTGTAAGTACCTAGTACAATACCGTTGTACTTATACGTAACGAATTATTTAAATTGATATGTGACCTATGGTAAAAATATTAATTTGGAGACCATTTTTAATTTTAAAATGGAACGAAGTAAGTACCTACATGATTCGTTTTTCAAAAAAAAAATTTTTTTTTCAAGAATATTATTCGGTAGGTAAGGTACGACTAAGTTATGCAAGTAATATAATTAATCAGTAGGCGATCGGTAACAAAAATATCGTATTTATGACACGTATAATTAGCAAATCAATAAAATTAGCTTTTATTGAAACTATTTATTTACTAAATCAGTCTCAGCAATGTAGATTTTGTATACACATACACACACAAACTAAAGTAAGTAGTCCAAAATAAACGAATATCTGCCTACTCAATTGAAAGATGGTTTTAGTAAATAAAACAATGAGATATGGTTACTTTACATATCATCAATATTAATAAAAAAATACAGTTTTAAATAATAAAAAAATGACACGTGGATACGAGTATCAATCAATATGATATTTTTTTTAAAAACAACGTCATTAGATAGATACCTAATATACTTATAATTTATTAATTATTTATTATGTAACTCAAATGTCGAATGTAAAACGTCGCGGTATAAAAAGTTAAAATATAAAAATATCATCGGTGAATAATAATTAGCTGCTTAAATAATATTTAATGGATTTAGTGGTCTCATAATTTAATACAAATCACCACCTTTTGTACCAAAATCAACTGTCTTAATTAATTTATGTTATTTATTTCGATATTAAGTAAATAACACCGTTTGTATTTATTAGTTTAACTATTTTACTGTGACATTGATTTAATTATTTGTCAAAAGTTCACGCTACTTAATTCAATTTCAAGATTAAATGTAAATCGCTACTGAATAAGTTAAATTGTTATGATGCACGGTTCATTTCTAACACTAGGTAATAATATTGTAATATCCAAAACACAGTTCATAATACCTAACTATAAAAATTAATATTATGAATATATAATACTAGCTACTTCCGCGCGGTTTCACACGCTCTGCTCAGCTCCTATTGGTCATAGCGTGATGTTTTATAGCCTATAGCCATATATAAACAAACAAACAAACTCTTCCGCTTTATATAATAGTATAAGATATAAGATAGATAATAGTATAAGATAAGATATAGTAGTAGGCGGCGCGACATAGCCGCGACCTTTTTTTCTTTTTTTCGCGAGCTTTTTTCAGTATATTCACGTGAGTAACCCGCGATTTTTAGTTAATATAGTAGGTATATAGTCGTTAATACTCGCAAATGTATCGGTATTTGTCCGAGTATTATTTCTTGTCATAATGACGATGGGGTCACGAAATATCATTTCATAATAACAAAATGTCATAATAATGTCTACCAACACCACACGTCTTGTAGGTACCTATTACTTTTATTACATTTTCTTTTTTCATCATTTTTCAATTCATAGTCCGTTTAGTTTCTATTGTAAGTAGTTTAGAGTTATAGCTGTTGGTATCTGTGTTTTCGTGTTCTACACTTTTTTTCATGATTTTCTTTTCTATTGCAACCGTTTGTTTTTGAGAATGGCTGACAATTAAGTTTTATCTATCTACTTATTTTAAAAGAAAATTGTGAAAATCAAGTGGTGTGTACCTTACCTACTAGCATATAACAGTGTGTATTTGTCCCACGGTGCTGAGTGCGTGTGGTGCGTGTGTAACGCCTGTGTATTTGTGGTTCCAGAGCAGTGGCGGCGGTTGCCGGTGCGGTAGGCGCGCGCGCGCACCCCGCCCCCCGCACGCCACTGCTTTGGACCTGTGGAACGCCTTCGTTTACCCGGTATGCGAGAGTGACGCCTGGCCGAGGAGCGACCAAATATCACGAGCGTTTCTTATCCACCACCCCACAGATCTGCACGATCCTGTTTTTCGTTTTAATTCAATCCAAATTATGACCTCTTTTTAATCACCTTCAAGCGCTCCTGATACATAGTCCGTTCTTTTGTTCAGTTTTCATAATTTTAAGTCCTGTAAAGGCCGCGTACCTGCTTACTGTCCCGTTTTTGTTTGACATTGAAATTATATAAAGTTAATTTACAACAGATTTAAATAAATAAAGAATATATTCTTAATTAACGATCATGCAACGCTTCATTGAGTTATAATTAATCGATTCAATATTTTTTGTTGAGCTTTTCGCTAATAATAGAATAATTAAATACTTACTTTACGCTTACGTTAAGGTATAATTCATTGAGAGTTTGACGTAAATTACAATGATATGTTTGATTCGTCCTCAGGGAAACATGAAGCAGCACATGCTGACGCACAAGATCCGTGACGTGCCTCCTGGGTTCGACAAGAGCTCCAGTGGAGCTGATGACACCAGAGACGGGAGCCCCGACCGTCGGTCGTCGCCTGATAAGCTCGACCTAAAACGCTCGCCCCCTGCGCACCCCCCGCCACAAATGACGCATCCCCCACCTATTGATATGCCACCAATGCCCAAACGACCTAGTGGTAAGTAAACGAAACATAGTAACTTGCATTTCAATCATTTTAGTCTAATACTTATATCAAATCTCATTATCCATTCTTCTCCCCAGTACCTAGCGGGCCGACGCATCCTCCACCGCCCACATCGTCCAAGCACCTGTGCGGAGTTTGCCGCAAGAACTTCTCCTCGTCGTCTGCGCTGCAGATCCACATGCGCACTCACACTGGAGACAAACCATTCCGATGTGCCGTGTGCCAGAAGGCCTTCACCACGAAGGGCAACCTCAAGGTAAGCAGCAATTACCTACCTGATAAACCGGTTTATCTTTTAAGAAGCCTTATTATGGATTTAACCTGAAGTTATGTGTGATATTACTACCCTAACAGCCATTAGTTTCAACTTAACGTGCTTATCTATCGTGTGGTACCTATCAAGACTAGAGACGGTCATTTTTTCGGATAAATACTCGAAATGGATAACTAAATATCCATTTCCGAAAAAACATCCGTCTCTAATCGTTGGACGTTTGCTTATATAGTTTAGATTTCGTGTTTAATGGTTTCATTTTCTCTCAGGTGCACATGGGTACCCACATGTGGAGTGGTGGCGCGTCCCGACGCGGCCGGCGCATGTCCCTGGAGCTACCACCGCGGCCACTGCACGAGCCGCACGACCTACTCAGACGCCCAGACCTCTTCTACCCGTATCTACCCGCGCCATTCCTTAACGGCATGCAGCAAAAGGTAATAGAGACTAAATATTGAGAAATACTCACTTTGTTATGCTGTCGTTTTCCAATCAAGTTATATACAACATGTTTTTATTTGTCAACAGCTGAATGAAATATCAGTAATACAGCAGAGCGCGGGTCAAAATGGTGTAGCTGGGAAATTCCCAGGACTCCTTGGTTTTGGAGCATTTGGAGGCGCACGACCTGGTGCAGCATCACCCCTCGAACGGCCGCCGTCTCTGGAAGGCGGAGATGAGAGGCAGGCCGCCATGCGCGAGCTGGCCGAACGTGGGCGCGAGCTGGCGGAGCGCAGCCGGCAAATGCGCGAGGAGGAGTACCGCGGGGCGCCAGCGCACGGCTCGCACGCGGCGGGCGCGGCCGCGGGCTCCCCGCCGGCGCCGCACCACCAGCACCCACTGGCGCCGCTAGCGCCCCCCGCGCGCACTGAGGGGCTGACCGTCTAGTGACGCGGGAGTGGCGCCCCACTACATTCCACGAGTCCGGCCGGAGAGCCGCGGGGCCGCGCGGGCCCCGGCGACGTCGAGTCTCATTGTACAAAGAGTTAGAGTCTAGTGTGAGAGTGCGGACCGTTGGTCGCGACTGCGACGAGGCGAGCTGTTGTAGCGTAATTATGTGCGAGGTGTAGCGCTATGTACCGTTGTTATTCCACGTGTTATTACGCCTAGTATTACTATAAGTAACTTATTATGCACGAGTACGGGCCTGGGGCAATCGGAGGCTCGTCGCGAGCTCCACGTTTATGTCATTACTCTGTGATAGTGCACATTTGGAGGCTGTGTCCGACGTACCGAGGGAGTTCGCCGGAACCGATGTCGTCGCATTGATACAGTCTGATGTGCTATGACATCATAAATTAAATATAAATTATCCCAAAAATTAAATAATTTTCATAAAACTATATCTTTTTAAATTAAATGTACATAATTTGTAAAATAGTACTGTAACGAATGAGTAGATATAAACTTGAATTTAATAAAATATTATATTATTATATTGTACAACTGGAGTGCAATATGCATGATTTTGTCTTTGCCACATTCCAAATAATTGATGTTACTGAGACAGCAGTTCTCTAACAACTCATAGTTTCCTTTGACAACATAACAATGCCATATTTCCGTCAGTTGAATATAATAATTCTATGTAAATGTATGGAGTAAGTCCATATGAACGTATGATTATACATAATATTGCATATTGTACTATGTCTATGAAAATACCGAAAAATTAATTCTTGTAATTCTATTACCTATGCATCTACCTATTGTCTTAAGGTATTCAATATTGTATTACAATACATTTAATTGTAACAGAGGTTAATGACATATTCATATCATGTAAATTAAAAGTATTTGCATTTGAGGTCTATAGTTATAAGTATTTAGAGTCATAGCTATTATATTGCTTTAGAATACTTCAACATATCTTTGTAAAAATGTGAGCGACTGGTGTTTCGACGAGACGTTGACTAGTACTTTACGGTTATATACTATGTATTATGTAGTATCACCGGCACTGTACGCAGACTGACCACGACTATGTACACATTTGTATTACATTTCTTTCCAAATATGCATTTTCTCAATGCTTGTTAGACGCCGTAGTCCAGTTGCTAATAAATTTAATTATTTTTTAAACAATTATGTATGTATTTTATACTTTCGACAGTAGTTATCTGTGTATAAATGTCCTACTAAATTATTTATAAATCATGCATACACTCTTAGTATTAAATGAACGCTTGCGGGGCGATAGGCCTCGTGTGCCAGTTTAGTTGTCTAGAATAAATTCTCATAGCACCTACGAGCTAATTATTATATCAAGTTGCAAATAGAACTTAGAGCGTAGTATTAGTCATGAATATGAAGTGTCATGTCATGTCAGTATAAATAATCATTGTAAATTATTAAATGTTTATGTAAATGTCCAAAAAGTATTCAAATTATTTAAAAAATCAATTATTATACTAATAATTATTTTCTTTTTTGTTTCTCCTTCACTACCTTCACCCTCCCTTTACGTTTTATTATTTTTAATATAATCAAGTAATTTAAGTGCACACTGTGTTGAAATTGACTTAAAGATAAACTCCATATGAAAAAGGTATAATTAATTTATGATCACAAAGTAATAGTCGCAAGTCATACTGTATCGCGCACGAGCATTGTTTGATAAAAAATACGCATGCGCGCATTTGGTTCACGAGTTACGCGCATCTTACGGGACGCACCATAATCAGATAGTCATATGATACCTACCATCATAAGATAGTCGTAAGTCAAAATAAACTTTATGCTCTACGAATAATTACAGACGTAAAAAATAATGTTTATTTAAAGATGATATACATAAACATAATAAATACCGCGAAGCAATTTTCTACCTTCTTCACTATTGTAGGTACTTCTGTTTCTGAGCAAACGGTTGTTCATAATAGACTAGAAATACAACTACATAGGTAACATTACAACTAAGAAGACTACTAATTCCAATAAAACAAACTAAAATAATTACTTAAAATGTTATAATTAATATAATAATGTTATCAAGCACACATGAACACTAGAAGTTGATGACACTGGCTAGTTTCTTGACGCGGTTGAGGAGTAAATCTCCCTCGCGTATGGTCGCCTGGTACAGCTGGGAGCGGTCGGCGTCGGCGCCGCGTCCCGCGCCCGTGACTACGCAACCCGCGACCGCATCAATGCGACATTGCAAGCGACCCGCGGCTGTAAAGCTGGAAATAAATATAAAGATTAACGTTGGTTATTTACTAAGGCTAAAATTAGTGAATTCCTATGTTCATGTGATGACGTAAGTAGACAAAGAGGTATTTTTTATTACAAAGTATAAAATAATAAGGTGCCTCCTATGCTACATAACCATTAGAGGTGTTTCACTATCATTAGTTACTGTCGTTGTTGTATTCAGTCTACTGGCGCAATAACGGTTTTATAAGTTGAGTCGTATGACCAACCCTTTTCTGACAACCACTGGCAATAATAGGACCTCTGAGGGCTTAGTACGATTTTCTTTTTCGAAAGTAATCAAAATGAGTATGCGTTCGGCGCTGTAATTGGCCGGCTCTAATGAACAAACCAATCAGAGCGCCGGACGCCGTCTCGTTTCGATTACTTAAAACGTAAAAAAAACTCGTACTAAGGCCTCTGATCTGTCTGTCGTAACTGAGCCCTAAGTAGGTAGATAATTAAACATGTCAAAAGCAATAGCACTTAGTTAGCAGTAGTCTTAACAAGATTACTTAAAACGTTCGAGACACCAAACGTAGATAATACTTACTTGGAGATCTCTTCCTCGACGAACTCGCGGGAGACGCCGAATGTATCAGCAATGTTGTCCAGACTGAGCGAGCGGTACGCGCGCAACAACTGGACGTACGCCTTGATGCGAGCCTCGCGCACGTAGTGCTGGTAGTGGGGCCTAAATACTGGGTCTACACAGATTTGGGTCTCCACCTATTAAACAAAACAAAACACATGTAATGATTCTCCAGACGGTTACCAGAAGAAAACTTAAAAGAGAGCCAATGTTAATCTGTTATACAAAACAGAAGGTGATTTATAAGCACGAGAAGGTAATTTATTTCCAAAATGGCAGTAAGAAAGAAATGGTTTCGACTTTCGAGTGCTTTTCAAGACATGACCATAGACGCAAGACACCATCATACTTCCAGACACTGTTATTCAAAAGATATTTACTTATTAGTACCGTAAAATGGGGTGAATAGAATTCGAGGGGTGAATAGATACAGGAATGGGGTGGATAAATGTTAGAGTATTTTCCCAACATTTATTCACCCCTCTTCTATATCTATTCACCCCGTTTTACCATTACACTAATTCAGCATGTCTTTGTCAAACCAGACAAAATACGAAAGCTTATCAAAACATTAGCTGGAGACTCAATCATTCAACCACAATACTAAACTTTCTTTATGGAACAATAATGACATACCCAGGCAAGACTCTTCAAGAAATCAGCATAGCGGCATTCATGGAGTGACTCGACTAGTTCCCTCAGCTCTGGGAACCGTGAGCGAAGAGCCTGTACAGCAGCACCCTGGCGCCTCAGAGCTGACTGTAGAGCATGGCGTTCCAGCGCCAATGCACAAGCTAGCACGCAATATTGGATAATCGTACCTGAAACATTTAAAAGTTCATGTTAGAAGTTACTCTTCTATGTATCTAGTTTATCTAAACCCTAGAAGAATCTTCACTGCCTTATTAGCTGAGTGCGACTTCGGCAAGGGGATTCGAGTGCTGGGTCAAGCAAAGTATTATTAGGTTTTAAAAAAATTCTCAGTAGTTGAACATAGTCTGGAATTATGCCCGCTATATGGCAATAGGCTTACCCCTTATTACATGGGACTCATAAGATAAATAGTAAAAGTGAGTGTTACAGTGTACAGTAGCAAAGTGTTGTAATGTACACCTCCACGGGGATAAAAGGTGTGATGGTATTTTAGAAGAATGTTATACTTGGAATAGTTCAACATATTGTCTGTAAAACATGTAATGAGAACTTATGAGTGAACAGTGACCACCATAATGATGGTTTTGTTTATTGCTTGAATACCTATTATTGGTAAGTATTTACAGAATGCTGATAAGTCAGTAATAGCCTTTCTCAAGACAAGAGTAGTTGTGTATGTGTGTAGTACTACCAAGAAAAGAATTTTTCCAATCTGACTGACATTTCTAAAGATCTAATCTTCAAAACAAAGAGTTCACATATTTATTATACAAATACTTACCAAAATCAACAAGTTCGTAAGATTCAAATGTGGATACACAATCAATGAACAAATCTGCAGCCTTGCTGTAATCTCTGACTGCGAGGCAGTAGATTGCTTCGTATGCCTTCAGCTTATTCCTGGAACGCCAGTCTCCACCTTTATCTACCAGCTCATGTGCCTGAAACAAAATTCGAATTTATAAATTTTTATGAACAATTTGTATGTGGAATTGGAACATTGCCCAGTACTACAATAACGTGAAGTTAATGTGAAAGCAAAAGTTGTGTTTGATAGTAAATTTTCACTTACACCTTTATGGTAAAGCCAATTAATTTGGCATTCATGCAAGATCAAATTCATTACACAATATGAAATTAATCTTTTAACAAAGTTATGTTTTGTCTTTAATGAATATTCCAAAAAAAAAATTGTAGAAAATTATTGTTTTAGTTAGTCACTTTGTTGGTATACACATCACATACCAACAATTATTTCATTCTACTATAAAGTCATTGGGTATTATAATATGCAATTTGTTAATACTAATACAGCATTTTTAAATCTAAAATAATGACCATAGAAATCACTTATACCTTATTTATGTTTTTGCCCATTTCTTTAACATTACATCCATGGAAATAGGCAATTCTGAACAAAGCAAAGACGGCATCCAAGCGTCTGTTTGTTGTTAAGGTGGAATCTTCATACTTGGAGACAGCCAGGGCAGTTGCACCTTCTTTGTCACCAATAGAACAGAGGTAGTCCAGCCTGGAATGAAAAAAAATCATCATCATACCATATACTAAACAGTTTCTACCAAACTGGAAGTGATACAGTTCATTCATAACATTTGGTTGGTACAAAACATAACAAAAAAATTTCAATAGTGTATTTGACAAATGAGAATAAAAGATTCGTCCACTAACCTGTCCTGCCATACTGGAGTCTCCGAATCATCCTCTTGAAACTTGGATAACCTGTCCTGGTTTTCTTTTGCCATCTCATCATACAACTTCTGGTCAAATTTCCATCCAAGGTCGGTGCAGACCTCTTTATAGTATGGAGCCATATGTCCACTCTTGATTCCTTGCAAGAGCTGTTCTTTTAGCTGTTGATCATCTTTCAAGTGAGGCAAACTAAGCTTGAACTTGATTCCGGCCAAAGCCATATATTCAGGGGTTTTACCTTCAGCTGAGAGCTCCATCTTTGATTATGACTTGTAGTAATTAGTAATACTATAGTAATAAAGACAAAATATAATCAACACAACTCGAATCACAATAAATTTCTCGTCTCATTCAACTTCTACAACTTGCAAAAACAAAAGTCACTGTGTACAGCAATGTTGCCACTATGAAATTCTATAAAACTACTTTCTAGTTTCTACTGTTTGCTACTTTTTATTATAGAAACTTCAAATAATACGTAGTTCTCTTTATATTATGACTATTTGATATTAACGTTTTCTTGATCTGTAATGACATACTAGATGAACAACATAAATTAATATTTTCATGCATCATTTTCAAGGCTTCTAGTTTGCGTGATATATAAAAACAATTCACAAGTACCTAAATTATTATTTTTTCTATGCACTAACTCTGGTAACTCTCAATTTCCTGAGCCGACGTAAGAGTTGGGGCTATAAATTATTGTAACAGGTGATAACACTATGGTGATACTCTATACCTGTTAATTCTTTAACTGTTCCTGTTATAAAATAACAACCTGTTAGTTTTCCAATGACAAAGGCTTAACAGGCTCTTCTTTGAGCTGTCGTAGTAGTTATTATATTATTCTACTTATTCACTTAGCAGTTTAACGAGGCTCTCAACGGTCACGGGGATTAGTAGGTGGGCGGAATTCGCCGCGTCGTATATTGCGAAATGTCAGCTCATAAATATAAGCGAACTTGAAACTAGTCGATATAAGCGAATCTTGAAACTAGTAGAGTTACGTGAGTAAGCCGAAAAACATATTAAAGGGTAAGAGTAAGCCGAAAAACAACGCTTGCGTTGTGTTTCATCGTATGAGTGAGATTACAGAAGGCCCAGTTATCCCCCCCCCCCTTTGCCCAATCCCTGAATCCTCAATAATCCTCAATAATTTCTAATCCCAAAAGGCCGGTAACGCACTTGCAACTCTCCTGCCTCTGGTGTTCCAGGTGTCCATGGGCGACGCCGATTGCTTATTATCAGGTGATCCGTCTGCTCATTTACCGGTTTATACCGTAAACAAAGTTATTAATTTAGTATGTCTCATGAAAGTCATAATAATTATTATAATTATTAATTAAGATGACGTATGTTTTTACGCAAATAAATGTCTCTTTATGTCTGTATGTACCTAGCAGGGTTGTTGCAAATATCAGCATCAGCATCAGCATCAGCGGAATATCAGCATTATTGTCCACATCAGCATCAGCATCAGCATCCGCATTAATTGTTGCTGATGTTAGATGCTGATGTTCAAAGTTCGTTGACCGGCAATGGGCGGAGGTAATGGCACGTGCCGCAGTCGCTTCCGAATTTTGGCCAATCAAAATACATATATTTCATAACAAATCGTCAATTAATATTGCAAGTATTGCAAGCAAAGTGCAGTACTATCCTGTCACCTCCGCCTGCAAGCGTCCCCAGCGAACAGTTATTCAGCAGTGCCGGCATTATATACCAACCTACCCGCAACAGACTGCAAGCTGAAAAAGCAGCTCAGTTGTTGTTTTTGAAATACAACTTGCCGTTAATAGAATTCCAATATTAATAATAATTTATTACTTAACAAGTTTTTACGTATTTGTTGATTCTTTAAAAAGTTATAGAATTATTAAAATTTATCTTTTATTAAAAATAGATCGATGAAAATATAATAGGTATTTACCTACCTAAAAATGTATAAAATTGAGTAGGTATAAAAAAAACTTAAAATCAGCATCAGCATCAGCATCAGCTGATGTAAATTACAATAAATCAGCATCAGCATCAGCATCCGCTGATGTGACAAAATCCTGCATCAGCAACAACCCTGGTACCTAGTGTTTGTGATTTTAATTTTTTGTCTGTGATTTAACCTATATCGTTGGAGTTTTAGTTATAGCATACAATAGTTCCAGTGGGTGTCTGTTATTATTAAGAACAGTAATTATAAGTTGTTATATGCAGGTCTGTATGCGGGAATAACTATTATCAGAGTAATACTTATAATTGTGTTACAGTGAATTGTGATGATTAACTACGCTCATGCCTAATTGACATTTGACAGACATTGACAATATGACATTACGTTACGTCTCGTCAATGACAGACTAGACAAAACATTAAATTACCCAAATATAAAATAAACAGAATAAATAATGTATCTTCATTATTTATTGTAGGTCCGAGTAAACAACATTATTAATATTATAAGATTGTGCTACCAGTAGTTGTGTTCAATAGCATAAGATAAAGTTTTGTTTTACACGAACTATTCTAATTTCTAACTGATGTCATGAGGATTGACCTAAGTTAAAACCAAGAATTGAGATAAATAAGAAGAACGAGGCAGCAACAATAATGGATATTAATAAACTAGTCAGTAAGAATCAATCCATCAAAATAGTTCCCTCCGTAGAAGATTCGTTGAAGTCCATAGGTCTTAATGTTAATCTTGATGACAATTCCAAATTATGGTTGGAACAACTAAGACTTACTTGGAAGACATGGAAAAAGAGTCCAGCAATCGCATCTCACATTGAAACATTTCTTCAGTGTTCACCAGAACCCTACAGAATAGCTTTAGTTTTTGTGATTAAATGTGATGATTACAAAGATTGCAAGCCAAAAACTTTACCATACTTCATTGTTGAAACTTTATTGAAATGGTCAGAGACAAGTGGAATTGTACCAGTTGACAATTTGAAATTGCCAGCATTCCATATAGCTGTTCAACAGAGGAACAACCATTTCCTTGGTCTGATGGTGAAAACATACAAACTAACTACAATTAAAGAACAAATTCTACCTTTTGTGAAAGATATGGTTAGTAAAGATAATTGCAAGCAAGCTTCTCAAATAGTTATATGCATGAATTTATTTGATGACATACCTGTAGAAGACCTGATATTTCCCCTCATACTACAAGATAAATCAAATTTGATTGATGAGTATCTAAACGAGTGCCCCAATCAAGTGAAGCCATTGCTAATATTTCTAGACAAATTATTAGACAAATCAATTAATATCCGAGATTATGTACAGAATTATACTCTTCACAATAAGATTTCTCACGTTAGATATGATAAACTACACTACAAACCACTTGGCAAATTAGTAGCTCGCCTATGCAATAAGTTTAACATTCCTATAGAAACATGTAAGAATCTCAGTAAAAACCGTACAACTGGTGGTTTGAGATATTTAATACATCAAAAATATCAAGAACACAATGTAAGTTCATCTGTCTGGGAAGATCTAGTGAAAGACTCACTGAAACAAAATGCTGGCTCTGGCCAAGAATTCATTGAAATGTTAGTTGAATATGACCGTAATGAAGCTCTAAAGTGGGCTTCATATTTGAATATGGCAGAGAGTGAGTTACCACTTGCACTTAAAGAATTGTCTTTAAATGAAGATATTGTGGAAGAGAATTGGGACACCCCTGGTGATGATGCATCTCAAACTCCTCAAGAGTATTACAAATTGGGTTTACAGGAAGATCAGATAACAATCATAGATACAGGAGAAAAGTTCTATGATCTAATGATATCAGATATTGTGAAAAGCAGTATTGTAAGCATTGATTGTGAGTGGAAGCCATCATTTGGTGCTACACAATCCCAAGTAGCATTAATACAAATCGCTACTACCAACAAAGTTCATCTCATAGATACTCTACAATTGAATAAACCAGAGTATATAAGTTTTTGGTACACTTTTCATAAATCTTTTCTGGATAATGCAGAGATAATTAAAGTAGGATTTGGACTAGAACAGGATTTGAAAGAAATAAAATCATGTGTAGTAGGATTGGGAAACATTAAAGTACAAGGTGAAGGCCTGTTGGATCTTGGGACGCTGTGGAGGAGTCTGCTTAATAATGGACTTTCATTACCTGGTACCAGTGCCACTGCAGGGAATAGCCTCAGTTGCCTAGTGCAAATATGTTTTGGATTACCTCTTGAAAAATCAGAACAGTGTTCTAACTGGGAACTGAGGCCATTGAGAAGTACCCAAATTCAATATGCAGCCCTTGATGCTTATGTGCTTATACAGTTGTATGAATACCTTCAAAAACTCTGCTTAGAGCAACAAATAAATTTTGAGGAAATATGCAATGATGTAATGTTAGAAAGTAAAAAGAAATGCACAAAGAAAGCCAAAGTTGTAGACAGACTGCAGTCTAGTATACCTGTGGTACAATTAAGATCAGTTCATGAGGTAAAATTCTTAGTGGAACCCTTGTTATCTTATTTAATGCCTCATTTAAGGTATTGTGGAATAGACACAATAGGAATGCCATCAACAATGTTATGGCATGATGTGATAAATCTGGCGTCATCGGAAGAACGCCTGGTCCTGTTATGTAAATTGAAACATACACCTTCCGCTAATTTCCCACAAAGTTCTATTTTAGAAGTTGGCAAGGATACCATTATACAACAGTTAAGAAAAATATTTAATAGTTACAATATAAAGGTGGAACAAGAGAATCTTTTCAGCATTTGTATAAATTGTAACAGTAAAGATTTAAAAAAAATAACTGTAGATGATGTTGTCAAAATGTGTACTGAATACAAAAGAGTGACGGTAGCTAACAATGTTAATAATGCAGACAGGTATGGCTATGAAGAAGATGACATGGGATATATGGACAATTTTCTCAGTGATTCCGATTGTGATGATTTAGAGTTATATCAACCAGTTGCTTATTCTAAACCGAATTTAACAACAAGTAAGGGTGTTACAATTGAAATACATAATGCAAGTGACCTATCTGCTTCAAACAAAGCTGCAGTTTTATGTGAAGAATGCGGTAAACTCTTTTGGGATGAAGACAAACACCTAAAACCAGTTGCAGAGGTAGTTGAAAATTTTAAGAAGCTTAAGATATGGTAAGTTTAATCAAGGGTACAAAATTTAAAGTCACTCTTTCCATAATAATTTATTCTCATGTAAATATAGCATTCAATTTAATATGATAATAAAATCATATAAATAAATTAATGTTTAATAACTGAAATTAAAGCTGTTGTCTTATTATTATTTACAAATGTCACAGCATTGTAATATTTTTTATCATATCAATAAATTGTTGAGACTTTTTGTAACTCAATGTGACTGTGAATTACTTATCTAATTGGTTCCATTGGTACTGTACTGTTGCAGCATACCACAATTTAAATTCAATTCTATTAAATTTGCTTCCTAGCTATATCTATATCTGCTATTTATATAAAATCGTAGGTACTGCACATTACTAAAAGTCCCTTACAATTATAATAACAGCTGTATATGACAACAATTTATTATTAGTGGGTAAGTCTATATTAGGCATACTGTAAACCATAACAAATATATATTTTTGTAAAACATTAAAATACCTAGGTAATGAAGAATATAATACGAAATAAACAATACTTAATTGTAGAACAAAATGTATTTTGAAAATATTAATGGCGGAAAGTTTTTGAACTTACATACAAATAAAATCAGAGCAATAATTACATCATAGTTATGTATTTACAAAAGCTTCTTGTAATGTGTAACGCAAGCTAAGCCTTTAGTGTTACCAGTAAAGTATATTTTTGGAGTAAATAATTATAAGGATATACTCTACATTTAGAACCTATTTCACAATGTCTGATTATGTATCTGTTAGTCGAACTGATAATTTGATTTAATTTAAAATCTTTGTCAGTTATACAAACAGTAACTTATTCAAATATTGATAAAAAAGATCTTATTGTTATAAATAACGAACAGTACTCTCAGTGTTAGTTTGTAAGTATGTATATTGTTCATTTATTAAACTCAGTCTATACAACATGATCACAAAATGTTATGTACTTACATAAAACAATAATGTAGAAAGTGATTTTATAGTACTTATAGCTTGAACTATCTATTTATAGCATTAATATAAAATTATAAGTTAAGAATAAAAATGACATGGATGTGTGTTAGTTTGAAGTTATTTAAGTTTAAAAAATATTGTTTTATCATATTTTTATCTGTTGTTATTTTATGTTGAACACATTTTTTTTCGATAATGCGTATATTTTTCTAATATATTAAGTAAGTGTGTTATGTGACCTTGTCGCCTGATGAACCTCGTAGTGGCATTACGTCACTATTTAGAATATTTTTGTTATTGTTGTGTAAAATTAAATGTAGGCACTTATTTCTGTCCAAAGGAGTAGCAATTAAATTAATTGTTATACAGATGTTTTGGTCTTAAAAAGCATTACAACACAGAACGCAATCAAGGAGTCGAACGTCATGTTGAAAGGCATTTATGTAGTAAAGAAGTACAGAAATATAATCTATAAAAGGTGCAGTGAAATATGCTAAGCTTTCTTATCCAAACTGCGCCCCTAGACAAATGGAATTTATTCACCAATAGAACAAGAGCATAGAAAACTCAATGTGTGATATTGACATGAGTGTTAAAAGTCAGCATCAAACCTATACATTATCGTTTCTGTTCCCTCGGTCGGCTAGTGTTTAAATGCCATTTGCGTAGGGGGGCAGGCAGTAATTGCTTCCACTTTTCACCTCCTAATTGCGTTCTGTGTGGCAAAGTAAAATACGCTTAGTATATAACCTGTTCATTTTATGACTAACAATGTAATATAAGATTTAGATTACTTCAATTAAAATATATGTTTAAATGAATTATATTTACCACCGAGAGGTGTCAACATATACTTCAGAATATAACGGAATAGTTGCAGTTTTTCTTGAACACTTCCAGTTCCTCTTGATCTAAATCTTTATTTCCTGTTAAATTTAACTCCTCTAGTATTAAATTAGGGAATCTCTGTAATGTTGTCAGCTGATTGTTTGCTAATGAAAGTTTCTGAAAAAAAAAACATAATAATTGGAAAAGTTATTTCAATCAAATTGCTTGATTTTTTGCTGGTCAGTAGAAAGTCTACAAGTCTATGAAACATACTATAAATTAATTGAAATAAATTACGGATTAATACAGCGACGTCACCACGCCGAATATGTATCCGAAAGTAACTTAAAACTGAAGAGCTTTCCTCCATTAGTTCACATAAGCCATATATTTGAATAAATTCTAACTAATTACCTATAAACTGTATAAATCACTTTCTAATTTTGCTGCTTATAGTAATTTGGTGACAACACACTACTATAATGCTAGATCATTCTTACCTTGCAATTTTGAAGCAATTCTAATGAAGCTAACACATTAGACGATAAGTTCTGATTAGATAAATCAACATTTTCACAATGGCTGTAGTACTGCAAGTGAGGTAAACTCGTGATTTTATCATCAAACTTGATTTTGAAATCTATAGAATCATCTTTGTAATCAATTGCAAGTTGATCTTCTAAACTCCATTTTGTAATCAAGTCATCATAGTAACCAGCTCTCCAATTATCAATAGTTTTCAATGTATGTAAGTTTTCTATAATCTCCTTGTGATATTTCTTTGCATCAATACAATGTAGGAACACTGTAGTTGTAAGAAGAGTCCCTGAAATGCAAAAAAGTGTGATTCGATTAGACAAATTGAAATAAACTTTGGATAAGACTGCAGAATGTAATAAATCACGAATCAAACTGGGTGGCGGCATATTTAGTAACATTTCAGTAGTTATGTGTCCAATATGAGTTCAGACTACGTATGATCTGATTATTATACTTATAATAGCAATATGACCTATATTCCAATTTATTAGTGCTCTTAAAATGAAAACTGCCAAAAGGAATCTTAATTGGGAGTCCCATAGATTAGCTAACAGTATTGTAACACTTTGATTAATATCTATGTTAATAAACTTTTAACACACAGTTATTTTTCTTTACATTCGTGATAATTCATTTCTGAACCAATACCCCAAAAGATGTAAGAATGGAATATGTGCAATTGTGCATGTATTTTGGAAATAATCTATCTTCTTATTCTATCTTCTATCTATATATATAAAAATGAAACCCGTTTCCCGTTGTCACGCCATAACTTGAGAACGGCTAGACCGATTCTGCTGATCTCTTTTTTGATGTATTTGTTATTGTCAGGAGAAGGTTTTTACGACAGAAAAAGTCCTAAAAATCCTACGGGAACGGGAGAAAACGGGACTGCGCGTACGAAGTCGCGGGCAGAAGCTAGTATATATATAAAAATGAAACCCGTTTCCCGTTGTCACGCCATAACTTGAGAATGGCTGGACCGATTTGGCTTTTTTTTTGTTGTGATTGTTATTGTCAGGAGAAGGTTCTTGTAATAGAAATAAATCCTGGAAATTTTATAGGAACGAGAGAAAACGGGATTGCGCGTACGAAGTCGCGGGCAGAAGCTAGTACTTAATGAGAATTAGAATTAATATCTTACATTTGTTATCAGGTTCCATTGCCAACAACTGACGACAAGAATCTAACTGATTAATCAGCTCTTCAATGACTGGTTTTGAGTATTTTCTTTGGAAATCGATTTCTCCTTTGCCAACATAAGTTTGGCCATTTTGTTTAACACTGGGAATTTTCTGAAGTTCCCCATTTTCATTGTCATACTCCATCTGAAAAATTGAGATATATTCAAAACCTTGTGCCAGAGCTAGCAACAAATAAATAAATAGCAATGTCAGTGAAAGCTTTAGTTACCATGTATCAAAAACGTTTGCTTACCTGCACGTTTAAACTGTCAGTGATTTCAGTATTATGTTTAAAAATCCACAGAACATCATATTGATTTCCTGAACAAGACTGCCATTCACCGTTTACTAACTCATTGTTGATAAATAATCTTATCTTAGAAGCTACATAGGATTGGTTCACTGGTTTACTAAATGCTACTGTTGTTTTCGATGGTGATACTGTATAAACTGCCACCTCTATGTTTGTTTTGACGGCACCTGTAATAATAATAATTTAGATGTAATTATAATTTTCATAATACTGGCTTAGTACCACTGATAACCTGAACTAGTTGACTCTACTAGCCAGCACATAGTTAACTCTCTATCATGTAGAGTATGCCCATACGACCTTCAAACCTTCAAGGAAAGAGCGTATTCCTTTTTAAAAGGCCGGCAACACACCTGTGACTCTTCTGGTGTTGCAGATGTCCAAGGGTGATGCTGATCGCTTACCATCAGGTGATCCGTTTGCTCATTTGCCTCCTATTGCATGAAAAAAAAACAGTCTTATTATAAGCTCTTGATCTAAACCATCTACTTACCTAGCAGCCATCTTTGATAAAACCATGCACTAGTGTCATCAGGATCGGTGAAAGCTGCACTTTGGACCATTTTCAACTCATGTTTGTGATGACTATCCTCAATTGGACGTCCACCTGGAAAGAAAAAGAGTTCTAAGAGTATATTCAATTTTACTATTAGTTCCCTTGCAATATCTTTGCTTATTATCCATAAGGGCTGGTAAGACATGACATATACACATGTTTTCCATTTGTAGTTAGTAAAATGAACAAACCTTCAACATCAGGGTAGAGTTCCACAAGCATTTTACTTCTATAATGCCAGGCAGAATAATTGGAGAAATTGTCCATTAGTTTATCAGTTGTAAAGTCAAATTCATCTTTCAGTGGCGGCTTGCATTGGCTTACAACAAATCTTCTGTAATCCCAAGTATGAACTGAAAAGGACAACATAACGGGGTTATTGCCAGTAAAGTATGTTTCTTACAGCTCATACATCCCCATTTCCTTTTGAAACTTCCCTATCTTTTGAAACATTCCCTCTTTTGATACTTAATAATACCAATTACATGTGACTATGGAAAGAAAAACCATACTTATAGTAGAAAAATTGAGCTCTGTCAATAAAGATATGACACTAGTATAATAATTTTTGTTCTCCGACCACACAGGCTTTAACCTATGATAAAATTTAATGGATGTTAATTGTAATAATTTTACTTACAATTTCTTTCATCTAACTTCAGGTACATATTGCACAGAGACAACTCCTTCTCCCAGTTGGGGTTAGCTCTAGTTGTTAGCACCCATTCTCTTTGGTGCCATGCACAGTAAGACTTAGGGTTTATTTTCAAACAATACTCGGTTAATTGAAGCTCAGCATCATACAATTGAGACAGTTCCTCTTCACTTTCATCACCTTTCCTGGAAAATGTACATTATACATGAGATAATGTGGCCAAAATAATGATGCAATCTTAATCAATTGTGTACAATTATCTATAGGTAATAGCTCAATGTAGAAAGTTACTTGTAATGTAAAGAAACAACTATAAAACAAAATGATGACTTGATAAAATTAATTAATATGAAAACAAATGTATTTACTTCAAAATTATAAGAATTTCCCTTCTGATGTTCCAGAGTGTATAAATATCGGGATTCGATGACAAAACTTTCCCAGTCAGTTCTAGTAGGTTCTTATCTAGCTCACCTTCTTTTCTCTGAAAAAGAATGAGCACGTTAGGGTGACTTCAGACACTCAAAAACACATATTTATTGTACAAGCTATAAACTTTTTCAAAACAAACCTTAAGAAATATTTGTTGCATAGCATGTTTGTAAATTTTAAGCTTTTCTTGGCGTTCCTTCTCTTTTCTTGCCCGTTCTTCCTCTGTAGTACGTACCTTTACTCGACCGTGCTAGAAGACAATAAAATTAAATTTCGTAAATACTGTAACCTTATTTTGGTAAGTAATTAAAACGCTCTTACCATTTTGTTTTGTATCAAATATTAAATATGATTAATTAAAAGTTAGTTCTGTGTCCGGAGTTACAATAATAGTCAATACTTTTAGCTCAAAACCGCAAAGTATGTACAAATTGTTTTAAAAAAGATAAAATCCAATAGATCACTCGTTCAAATAATCACTGACGTGAATGACATTTGTCAAAAGCGACATTGACAATTGACATATAACACTCAATAGGGGTGCACCACAGACCTACTATAAAAAATAAATCGATATAAATCCGATTAAGTGTTCTAGTCTAAGTTCTACACTAACCGAGGGGGGACTATCCTTGGGTGCATTTCCATAGTGCATACAGGGATAGTCGCCGGTTTGTGTGTCCATTACATTTAGATTAAAGTTGTCTAAGGGCCTCTGCGCAGTTGGCTTCGGCCCCTCGTACGCCTCCCAAATGACCGGGACCCTGCGGTCCCGTAAATGGTAAAAACATACATAATAATAAATAATACTACTTCATGTCATATAGAAGTCTATTACATATCATAAACTTATCTTATAGGCGTGTAAGAATAATTTACAGGTGACACTGAGTTGACAACAAAAGAAATGTATATTATTACCTTTTATTTTTGGCAAACAAAGTACTTAAATGTGCAGATTTATATAAATAACAAACATACAAATGTTCATGTTCTCATTTTTCAACCTCAGATTAGTTTATACTAAACATTACATCAATTTAGAACACAGATTTTAAATAGATAAGCAGACCCAACATTGCCTAAATGAAGCCAAAAATACACGTGCGAACTTAAACGGGGCGGCACTAAAGTACATTAACCGTAAGGCATGACAAACAAAGGTCATTATTATTATACCTGTATAGAGAGAAGCGTGTTTTTGGGATAAAAAGTCAATATTTATAAATATTGAATAAATACATATTTATTGTAC